TATTTTTTTATTTTTTCCATATAATCACCTATAAAATTATACTAAAACAATTATTCACCTCAGGCTCGGTGATTATCGTGAATAAAAACCTCGACTTCGTCTCGGTTTTTATTCACCGATAATCACCTCGCCTTCGGCGAATAATTGTTAAACAATGCAGAATAGTCTGATGGTAGACAGGGCAAAATATTCAGTTTTGAAATACAGCACATTAGTGTGAATGAGGTCTTAATGAGTTAACACATAACATAGGGAGACAGTAAGATAACCTGGCTATCAAAGTTGTCCCCTCCCTTTCACAAGTAAAATAATCTGCTGTTAGACAAGGTAAAATAAAAAAGTTGAGCACATTCATCTTAACGAGTTAGCATGAAATGTAAGTTGAGAATCTGGTTAACTTGAATACCATCACATAGTTATTTCATAGAAAAACATGGAGAATTTTCCTGACATTACACTAAGGCTAACAGATTTTAATACATTGACTGATTCAACACATCTCATTCTCACAATGAAATATCAATTTTAATTTGAACAATAACATATGAATAAATATCAGAACCTTAGGAAGGTTGCTGCTGATTTGATAAGCTGAGCATAGTATATATGCATGTATAGGCATGCGTTAATGGCTGCCAATTAACAGTTCACAGTTGGCATATACAAATATATTATTATAAACAATCAACATGGATAAGTCTAATTCAAATGTAAAACTTTTATAGTAGCATTTGTTGAAGTATACTATAGATGATATAAATATATTTATATCAGCTTTATAATTTCATTATTGTCGCAGCAAATTCAAATTTTAAACCGAATTTCAAGAATGAAAATTCGAGGTATTTCCTTTATAATTTGCTTTATTATGAACAAAATACAAACATATTCTCACCTGACCATTATGCAAACATCTCTGATGAATTACTAGTGAAAATCCAGTTCAATCTCATCAAAAATAGTTATATTTTGAACATGAACCATTCACAAACTCAAAAATAAAAATTTGAAAAAATATTGGTGGTGTGATCATAGAATATACAATAGACCAGAAGCCTCACTGTACACCTTTCCTTAACATTTTCGTGTCCGCGATTTTCGCCTTGCGGATCACGAATTGCGCACGCTAGATGACGTGTGTGACACTTGCTGCGAACATCACGTCAGCGTTCGTCAGCGTCAATTCCTCAAATCAACGGTTTTTCTTGAAATTCGAAAAACATGCTCAAAGTGTACGTTGCATATTCTGCAATTATTGTGCAAATATTTTACGCTTTTGTTTTTTACGTTGTGTCTTCCTGTTGCGATGACCCATTATTTGGACCTGTGGCATTTAAAAATGGTTAAAACAGCAATCTTTATCACCTAGTGATGGCAATTGATGGCGTTGCTCGCGTACCAGGGTGGAAAGTTTGTAGGTTGCGCCGAAGATCTTCGGCGTGGAAAATTCATAAATTTGCTCCTTTTTGGCGCAGAATTATGGGAAAATGAACTGGTGTGGCGCACTGGCGTACAAACATTTATTTATTTGTGCACACTACAACATTCTCAACCATTTCTGTTTGTATTTCAGCCATGTAATAACTGGAATTTGATTAAGCACTGACTGACCGTATTTCAAAAGTTTAGTATCTGTTCTGTCTCGGCTCTAAAAGTGTTGACATTGCAACTCGGCGGCGCATGTGAATATGTTTAAAACAGGATTTGTGCAGCACTGCAGCCACTGGCACATGTTACTGAACCTTGATCAAATCTTCGGCGCACAAAAAACAAACTTTCCACCCTGGCTCGCGTATGATGGCTTCGTGATTACACTTGCTGGCTCGCGCTTGCGCATAAAAAATCTCGGACACAATTTTGGCTGAGTGAGCTTCTGGTCTATTTTCTATTCTGTGATGTGATGATCTATCCCGAGATGCTTTGCGCGCGTGGCAAGAAAACTAGACACCAGTCTGTCGGTCGCGCACATTGCGGTAATTATTCATTTAATTTAGTAATCTTAATTAGAAAATAAATAGCCCCAGTATTAAATGCTGTTATTAAAATGTTTATGAATAAAAGGCGATATAGGAATAGTGCAATTGTAGCCTGTACTACTATCGCCTGATACATGCATGGGTATAAGAACTTTACTTTATAAAAATACAGAGAAAATATAATTTATGAAATAACTCATTCTTCCTATAGGAATTTCTATTTCTTACAGGATTTCTAATCCCACCATTTTCCAATCCTATAAGAATTTCAATAGGAATTTATATTTCTTGTAGGAATTTGTTACACCATTTTCCAATCCTATAGGAATTCCTATAGGAATTTTTATTTCCTATAGGAATTTTTTCACCATTTTTAAATCTTATATGAATTCCTATAGGAATTTTCAATTCCTATAGGAATTCCTACAGCCATTTTCCAATCCTATAGGATTTCGTATAGGAATTTTTATTTCCTATAGGAATTTTTTCACCATTTTCAATTCCTATAGGAATTCCTATAAGAATTTTCAATGCCTATAGGAATTGGTATAGGAATTTGTTACACAATTTTCGATTCTTATAGGAATTCCTATAAGAATTTTCAATTCGTATTAGAATCCTATAGGAAATTTTTGTAAGGGATGCTTGGTTTTGTATTTACGTTATTAAAGGCAAAGCAATGATTTAAATTTACCTAAATATAGACTAACGACCGGACAAAGAATGTTCTCCTGCACTACAGAGGGGCAAAATTGTATAATGATCTCCCTCGCGATATTAAGAAAATAGGGAACATAAAGATTTTGGAGATAAGACTACGAAGTGACCTTATTACAAGTAATCTTATTACAAGTAATCTATTAGCTTAACCTATTTTAGCCATTAAATTAACTATATGATTGTATAGTATTTATTTGTTTGTAGCGGAAGAGCCCTTTTTCGGGAGCTATAATACAGTACCTGTGTCTATTAAAGCACATATGGCTATTTTTCCGAGGGAAAGAGCCTGGGAATAAGGTTGATGTTCCCCACACGTACATGTACTAACTTCCAGGCCTTGAATTTCGTTTTTATATTTTTCAGGTAGTATAGATCGCTAAACCAAGCTCACAAACTGGATTAAACCATGCTCACAAACTGGATTAAACCATGTCTGGTCATCGTGGAAAGACATCAGACAGCTTAGTAAAAAACAAAAGAACACACTCAGGAAACAAACCTTTTGAATGTGATGTTTGTAAGAAGAGATATACACGCTCAGCCAGTTTGGTCATCCATACAAGAACGCATACTGGAGACAAACCTTATCAATGTGATGTTTGTAAGAAGAGATTCGCACACTCAGGCAGCTTGGTCAACCATAGAAGAATGCACACTGGAGACAAACCTTATGAATGCGATGTTTGTGAGAAGAGATTTACACAATCAGTAGACTTGGTGAGACATAGAAGAATGCACACTGGAGACAAACCTTATGAATGTGATGTTTGTAAGAAGAGATTTACACACTCAGGCAGATTGGTCGTCCACAGAAGAACGCACACTGGAGACAAACATTATGAATGCGATGTTTGTGAGAAGAAATATACACACTCAAACAGCTTGGTCATCCACAGAAGAACGCACACTGGAGACAAACCTTATGAATGTGATGTTTGTGGGAAGAGATATACACAATCAGGCAACTTGGTCCGACATAAAAGAACACACAGTGGGGACAAACCTTATCAATGTGATGTTTGTAAGAAGAGATTTGCGCGGTCAAGTTATTTAGCCATACATAAAAGAACACATACTGGCGATAAACCTTATGAATGTGATGTTTGTAAGAAGAGATTTGCACAGTCAAAAGATTTTGGCGTACATAAAAGAACACACACTGGATACAGACCTTATGAATGTGATGTTTGTAAGAAAAGATTTACGCAGTATGGCAACTTGGCGAACCATAGAAGAACGCACACAGGCGAGAAACCTTTTGAATGTGATATTTGCAATCTTAGATTTGCACAATCAGGAACTTTAGCAATACACAAAAGAACTCACACCAGAGACAAACCTTATAAATGCGATGTTTGTAAGAAGAGATTAAGAAACCCAAACAGCTTGGTGAATCACAAAAGAATGCACGCTGGAGACAAACCTTATGAATGTGAAGTTTGTAAAAAGAGATTTACACAGTCTGGTACCTTGATACGACATAGAAGAAGACACACTGAAGAAGTGCCTTACGAATGTGACGTTTGCAAGGAAAGATTTGCAAGAAAATCCTCTCTTACCCACCACAAAAAGCAACATTTGTTTTGCAACACTTGCAGCAGAGAGATTGTTCAACCGCAAGATTTGAATGAACATTTTTTCGTGTTTGAACACGATGGAAAATGTAGCTGCAGTAAATGTGACAAACGATGTATTAATTTCATGAAATTGGTACAACATATTGCAAGGCAACATGGTGATGATGGAAACTATCAATGTGGTTTATGTCAAGAACTT